TGTGTTTTACTCAGCCTCAGTAAAGTTGGAATCACGTGGTCCAAAACACCACAACTGGCGACGAGGATTAAAAACTATTCTATTCTGTGTTGAAAACGAATATAGATCCGCGCGTTAAGAAGTGAACAGTAAAATGGCGGAAATCGGGCATCTCAGGGAATTTTCACCGATAAGTAGTGACTGGTCTATCTTCAAGGCCCGTTTGTTAAACTATTTCGCTGCAAACGGAATAAAAAAAAGAGAAAGATGAAGACAGAATGAAGGCGATATTATTAAATACATGTGATGAAGAGGCATACAAATTAATATTCGATTTGGTAAGTCCTGAGAAACCGGAACAAAGGACATTTGGCCAGTTGATCAAGGTGTTCGACGAATATTTTAAACCGCAGCAGTCCGCATTCGCTTTAAGATACAAATTTTATGCAGCAAGGAAGGAATATGGAGAGATGGCAACTCAGTGGGCAGGCAGATTGCGAAGTCTGGCTGTAGGATGCGAGTGCGGAGCCGAGCTGGGAGTTTGCCTAAGAGATCGATTCATATTTGGGTACGAAAAGGGACCAATTTTGGACCGTCTCATGGAGGAAAATATCGCTACGTCTTTTGAAGGGATAGTGAAAATTGCATCAGCAAAGATGGCGGCCAGAGAGGTGCAAGAATCGATGGTAAAACAGGAGCCCGTGAATTTCCTACGCAACAAGAAAGGCGACGCAGGTGCAAGAGGCGCGCGCAACCCGGATGTAGGAGGCAACTTTGGAACCACAAGACAGCAGTGGAACCCCCACCAACAGAAACGTCAAAGTCACAGCAGGGAGGCAGCCATGATGACAGCCATAAAATGTGACGTCTGCGGAAAAGGCAATCACCAAAAAGATAAGTGTTTTTATAAATCTTTAAATTGTTCTAAATGTAAAAAGAAAGGTCATTTAGCCGCAGTATGCAGGCAAAAATTTAGTAATAGGTATCATAATTTTATTGAAGAAAAATCCTCGGTAAATAATCAAAACAATGATGATATTTGTTTGTTTACATTAAGACAGCGAGATATTTTTAGATCAGAACCATTTAAAGTTAATATTGTACTGGAAAATAAAAACGTTCAATGTCAAATAAATACGGGCAGCGGAATTTCATGTTTTCTGAGGAATTTTATTTAAATAATTTTAAAATTTATCCTCTTCAAGGATCAAACAAAACATTTATTTTTTATAATGGGCAACAAGTGAAGCCATTGGGTGAACTTTATTTAGAAATAAGTTACAAAGGGAAAAAAGAAAATTTAACTTTTTACATTATGAAAAATGGAGGACCTCCGATATTAGGGCGTGATTTTTTAAATTTATACAATTTTAGTTTGAATGTCTTTAACATAAATAATGCTACTCAGCATTTGCATGATGAATTTCCTGATGTTTTTTCTCCTGGATTGGGCTGTTTTAACAAGGCCAAAGAGAAAATTTATTTAAAAAATACTGAAATTAAACCAAAATTCTTAAAGGCTCGCCCAGTCCCATTTGCTATTAAAAATAAAGTAGAAAAAGAAATTGAACGATTGGTATTTTTAGGTATATTGTCTCCAGTGGAGTACAGCGCATGGGCAACCCCAATTGTGCCAGTTTTTAAGAAAAATGGAGACATAAGAATATGTGGAGACTTCAAAGTAACAGTCAACCCTATAATAGAAGTGGACCAGCACCCACTACCGAGAATTGAGGATCTTTTTAGCAAGCTTCAGGGAGGAAAGGAGTTCTCGAAACTTGATTTGTCACAAGCCTTTCAGCAGATAGCCATTGATGATGAGAGTAAGGAGTTATTAACAATATCTACACATTTAGGCCTCTTTAGATTTAATCGTTTAACGTTTGGCATATCATGTGCATCAGCTAAATTCCAAAAAATAATGGATTCTCTATTAAGTGCATTGTCAGGGGTGGTTATTTTTCAAGATGATATTTTGGTCACTGGGGTTGATAAAAAAAGTCATTTAGAAAATTTAAGAAATGTTGTTAAAGTTTTGCAAAATGCAGGGTTAAAGGTTAATTTTGAAAAGTGTAATTTTTTTCAAAAAAGCATTGAATATTTAGGGTTTATTATAGACGAAGAGGGTTTACACCCTTCAAAAGAAAAAATATCAGCTATCGATAATGCTATGCCACCAAAAAATGTTAAGAAGTTACAGTCGTTTCTAGGTACTATAAACTATTATGGTCGATTTATAAAAAATATGTCCACATTGCTACATTCCTTTTACAATCTTCTCAAACAAAATGTTAAATGGGAATGGTCTTTGAGAAAAGAGCAAACTTTTAAAAAAATAAAAGAGCTTCTGAAATCTGCTGAAGTTTTAGTCCACTTCAATCCTGAATTGGAGCTAAGGCTATCGGTTGATGCTTCACCAGTGGGCATAGGGGCTGTATTAAGTCATATTTTGCCTTCCGGTGACGAAAAACCCGTAGCTTTTTCTTCAAGGTCGTTATCGGAGACCGAAAAAAGGTACTCACAGATTGAAAAGGAAGGACTAGCAATAATTTTTGGCGTCTTAAAGTTTAATCAGTATTTATATTTGAAGAAATTTAAACTTGTAACAGATCACAAGCCTTTATTAACAATTTTTGGTGAGCACAAGAGCATACCGCAATTTACGGCAAATAGGCTAAGGCGGTGGGCAGTAATATTATCAGGGTACAATTATGAAATTGCATACGTAAAAAGCAACAAAAATAATGCAGACTGGTTATCCCGTATGCCATCAAGTAAAGATAGTGATTTATTTAATGATGACAATATTGATATAGACTACTGTTATTTTTTATCAAAAAATACAGATTTTTATTTAAATTTTGAAATTTTACAAAAGGAAACAGCCTCTGACAAAATTCTTAAAAAAGTCATTTATTTTATTAAAAAAGGATGGCCTAAAAAAGTGAATGATATTTCGTTAAAGGCATATTTTGCTAAAAGATTTGAATTTGATGTAATTCAGAATTGTATAATATGGAATCATAGAATTGTTATTCCAAGTTCTATGCGGCAGCAAGTATTACAAGAGTTACATAAATCACATATGGGAGCTGTTAAGATGAAAAGTTTAGCTAGAGGGTATGTTTGGTTTCCAAATTTAGATGTTGAAATTGAAAATTTAACAAAAAAATGTGACGCATGTGTTTTGCATTCAAATAATGCTCCAAAGTCGCAAATATCTCCATGGCCTTGGCCAAAAGCACCTTGGGAGCGCATTCATATAGATTTTTTTGATTTTAGAAGAAAAAATTATCTTGTAATACTTGACGCTTATTCAAAATGGCTGGAAGTTTTCGAAATGTCTAGTATTACTTCTACATTAACTATACAAGCTCTTAGAAGAGTTTTTGCTACTTTTGGTTTGCCAATTACTTTAGTTTCAGACAATGGCAGACAGCTAGTATCAGATGAATTCGAAAACTTTTTGGCAAAAAATAACATCAAACATGTAACGAGTCCCCCTTACTCCCCAGCATCTAATGGAGCAGCAGAGAATGCTGTTAAAACTGTAAAGTCAGCTCTTAAAAAGGCTTTAGTCTCAAACTCGGAAAATACTAATGTAGTGTTATGCAGGTTCCTCTTAGATTATAGGGTCACTCCACATTGTAACAACTGGGGTGAGTCCTGCGACTTTAATGTTAGGTAGAAATTTAAGGACGAGGTTATCTACTCTTTTACCCACTGATAATATATTGGTTTTTAAAGAGAACATAGATAGAAATGTATTAAGTAAAAGGGTAGAACATGCTCAAAGTAATCAAACCAAAAATAGTAAGCCAAATAAAGAAGTAAATTTTGATGTAAATGAAACTGTGTTAGTCAAGAATTATAAATATGTCGACAAACCAACTTTTATTAAAGGAGTTATAACAAAAAAATTGGGAATTAGGACTTATTTGGTAAAAATACCAGAATTGGAAAAACTTTGGAAGAGGCACACTAATCAATTAAAAAAATATACTCTACATTTTAATGAATCTAAAATTCCAACTCAAATAAATTCTAGTGTTTGTACCAATCAGCCTAATTTAGAAATTAGTCCAAAATTTAATGTACAAAGTGTAAATATAGATAATGGTGTTAATAATAATAGGGTAGAATTAGAAAACAAGTTAAGTGAGGAACAACCAGAGTGTTCATCAATTAATAATGACAGTAATAATTTAAAGAAAAATGAAATTGTTTTTCCCGAAAATAAAAGACCAAGAAGGATTATAAAACCTGTTATTAGATTTGGATCTGAGCAGAATAGTTAGAGCATTTGTAATTTTAGGAAATGTTAAAATTTGGTTTAAATGTAGTTAATTTTTTTAATGCCAAAGGAGTTATTATTGTTTATTGGATTAGGTTATATAGATATTAAGTTGTTAGTTGTATAATACTTGATTCAAACGCCACTAAGTTTAAACAGTTATTGCTTAAGTTTAAATACAAATTGATTAAAAGAGAGTAGATATATTTTTTTTGTAAAAAAGAAATTTTTAAGAGGAGGGTATTGTTAGTATTGTTATAAAAATAATATTTAAATATTCCTCCTTTACCATATGTAAAATAATATATAGTACACCATCCGTTTCCGGTAGATGTATGCGCAGGCATAAGGTACTGATGGTACGACATTGTAAATTCATTCTTTCTCTGAGCGTCGAAATAAAAGTATCAAATTTCAAACTGTGTTTTACTCAGCCTCAGTAAAGTTGGAATCACGTGGTCCAAGACATCACAACTTTAATGGTAGAAACTAAAATGTAAATAATATACAGGGTGTTCCGTTTAAAAAATACAACTTTGATATTTCTTTTTGTTTGGGACACTCTGTATCTTATAAAAATATTTTTAAATTGTAGCTCTAAATCCTTCAACAAACCCAAAACTTACAATTTGTAAAAATCTAATGGTTACTCCGTGTCGTATGTTGTGAACAACCCTGTATATGGATAAGATAGATTTAAAAATAATGTGACCCTAAAATATTTTAGACGGAGGTTCTACAATTCAGATTTTGAGAGTCCACCAACACCATCTCCTCCTCGCGTTCAACGATTTCCTGTTGCCCAAAAAATAAAAAAACGAGGGAGATATCCACCAGAGCAGGTAAGTCTATTATAATTTATTATCAAAATTACTCCTTAGTAACTAACTTATTTTATATGTAAAATTATATGGGAAATGTCATCGATTTGTCATTTCATAGCCATAGCCATAACCATTCATAGTCATAGTCATAGCCTTAGAAATAATAAAGGCACGTTTACATACATTACGAGTCAAGTGAATTTATCCAGTAACTTGAATTCAATTCTCCTGAAAGCAATATGACTGTCGACAAATCAAGTGAGTTGATTCAAGCCTTAGTTAACTTTTGACGTTCAAGTGGTGTTTTTAAAATGGCGGCCAGTGGGGGGCAGAAGAAAATGCTGTTAAGTTTATTAATATTTATGAAATATATATACTACCAAAAAACCGCTGAGGAGGTACTTCAACATACGCGGTTTTTTGGTAGTAACGCTTGCGAATTGTGAGCTACTGTTTAACCATGTTGTAACCGGCAAATGGTGCCTAGTACCTCGTTTGCTTCCTGTTTCTTTTTTCAGGATCGGTAGTTCATCGTTGCTGATTCCTCCCGTATTGATGAAGCCGGAAGGCAGAAACACTAAGTGTCTACGAGTAGTCGTATTTTAGCCATGTTTCATGACTAACCTTACTGTAGGTTTGCCCAATAATTTCATTCTTCTTATTTTTTATTTATTTATTAATATCTCTGAATCTATCGGAATATATTTACTCATATCTTAGGATTATGTAAAGTGATCTGAAAAGAAGCCAAAAATGCAATAATATACAGGGTGTTTGTTCCATTTAAAAAATTCATCCCAATCTACTCAAACTTTTTTGAGCCACCCTATAAAAGTTAAAATATTTTCCTGGAATACATCCTAGAACATACTTTAGATCTGCACTTAAACAAAATTCTTAAGTTTGTTATTTAGGAGCTACAGATGCCCGACGCACTATTGCCCGGCTCTGTATAAGCCCGTGTTATAAAAATTAGTTCCCACGTTTGCGTGATTTGTTGTTTGTTTTTTATTCTTAACCTAGATTAACAATAAAACAAACAAACAATCACGGCGCGTCTCGATTTATTTCAGGAAACGTCGGAACTAATATTTACAACACGGGCTTATATTTGTCGTACTATTTTGTGAAATAGCACGAAGCAATCAAGGTCAAACGTTGTGGTTGCTTCAGAAAAATAAGTAAACAAGCAGTATCAATAAATATCAATAATTTGTAATGTAGGATAATGTAATACTACGATATTAAACTAACATGAAAAATCAAAAACAGTGCATTTAGAAAACAGTTACCGATGGAAGATTAAATTGGCTATTCCTCTAAGGTTACACAAGAATATTTAGTTTTAACCATTGTCTAACATTATTAATTACAATATAGTAAAATCTATTTCCAAAACTTCAAAATCTGTTCTGGCGGTCCGCCTTTTATAGGTTATAATCCACGGTGTTAAACTGTTTAAAAAATCGTCCAATTATTTCTTATTTTTGAATGGATTTTTATCAAACGATGTTATTATTATATATAAAAGTATCTTTTATTGACATCGGATCAACCAATAATTTTCCCAATCAGCTCGATATATTGACTATGTTGGCAGTATTACTCATCAAACAATACTACTGTTATATCAATCAATTAAGGTCGCGTAAACAAACATAACATATACAATAATTTTATATACTAATTCATTATAATAAAATTAAATAATAAATATATTGTAATTATATTCCTGCAGATTGAGTGGAAGGTTTTGTTCTTAAATATCTACTCTACATATTAAATGCGTGTTCGAATATTAATCTTGTGGAATATTTATATATTATATCAAAATAAAACGAGATGTAATTAACGAAATATCATTGTAAAAATAGCTATTTTAGAAACATCTCAGTTTACTTATTTCACTGATATTTATAAAAAAAAGTCCTTTGCCTCGGGTACAGATACCGCCACGTCTTGGAAATAGCTTAAAACGAAACATACTACGAACGAGGCAACAAAAAACGCCAAAAAATGCCCCTACGCCCTCCTCACGAGTAGTTTGCAGGCGCTTTTAAGAATCGAAAGTAGGTCGAGGCAAACCGAAGTGGAAATATACCGAAATGCGACAAAATTGGGCGACGAAGCGCGACCTAGACTTGCTTGGAAGAGTTCTCGCCATAGTGTAGAGACTGTTTTACGCATTAATGTGTCTTGTTATGGGTGCGACTTTTTCCAACAAAAAATTAATTTAAATTGAATTGGTTTACATCCACCCTTAATTTTTTTTGTAATCTTCTAGGATCTTCTAACTATAGCTTAGATATTAAATTATGAAATACACCTTAAGTTGCTCTGCGGCTAATCCATTTTCGGCCCCATGCCATATTGTTCTTTTATGTCTTGGTTTTTTATGTAATAAACTATGTAATATAAAAAATTCCATTGCCATATTTTTGGAACTAACAGAAGCTTTTTGACATGAAATGTGTAAACTTGGAATATGCTTTCGAGTCAGTTTAAATTCGAGTGGTTTGGTCAATTCACTTGACTCGTGTAAACGCGCCTTAAGTGCTTTACTATTGTTTTTTTATAAAATTTATTTCCTAAGAAAACATTTTTTTTAGGAATTGCCACTGCCAGACATACCACAATTTGGTTTGCAATGGGAAAATGAGCTTAGAGCACAACAACAACAACAAATAAATGAAAATTTGGGAGGTAAGCCTAGTATTAGATAGATTGTAAGTATTCTCGACCGTACGAATGAATAACAGTGATAATTCTCAGGAAGCGGTCTACTCCTACTACTTTATACATATACCGTACTGGAATTTTGGAAGAATTAATAAATTTTAAAATTATTTATTATACCGAACTTAAGCTTATCAGTAGAACTGAAAAATCCTAGCTTTAGTAGTTTCCTTTGTTTAAAACATTTTTTCTTAGATCCTGCGTTTGTATCACGATTTGAAGATGAACAATATTCCTTTAACGAAACACCCCCAGATCTGCAACAGTATGATGTAAGTATTTCAAGTTGTATTTATGCTCACTAAATTTAAAAATAACAGATCAAAAAGCTTATTAAGGCTAAACAATAAACTTATATTTATTATTATTTATAAACCTGGAAAAATAGTCTTCAAACGGCTAAAGGCCTTTAATTTTAGACTGGATATTATGATATTACTAACTTAATATGTAATTTTTTTATAATTTTATATGTGTAGCTTATAAAATGTATACAAATTATTATTCAGACATTTAAGGGATATTTTTTTCGCGACTAATAAAATTATTATAAAACACAATTGGACCACGTTATGTAATAATAGATTAAGCGACATTTTGTGATTTCTGACAAAATATAATTTAAAGATTTTTTATTTTTAATTTGTCGTGGAGTCCTTATTATAGGAGTTTAAAATTTGAGTTTTTGTCACTAGGACGATCATGTAGTGTATTTTAGAGCTTTGTTTTCAAAAGTATGATTATATAACCAATTTAAGGCTATAAGGCCAGAATGTCGTTTAATTCGATATAACTTTTTTAGAATTAAGCCAGTATTAAAATCTTCGTAAAGGAGGATTAAGCGCCATTTTTGGCGCTTGAGTCTATGTTACAGAAAGGAATATACATATAAACAAATTTTGTAATATCGATATGTCGGATAATTCTTTATTACATATCATCAATTTGTATTTTACCTTGAGGAGTTCAAAAATGTCACTTAATTCAGGTGCCCTTAAAAGGGATAAAGAAGAAATTATTAACTGGAAAGAGGTTTTCAAACATAGATTTTGACCTTCTCTAAAAGATGGCGCCATTAACTCGATTTTTGAAATTTTGTCGTTTAATTCGTTATTACATAACATGGTCCATTTATTCGTCACAGTAGTATGTATTTAAAAATGATGATAAATAAAAGAGAGCCTTCTGTTTTTGGACGGATTCTCCAATAAACCTAAAAAATATAAAATTTAATTTATTTATAGTAACAACATATTTATAGAATATCAGGCCAATCAAATTAGAAGGGTCACTTGGAAAATATATGGTAAGCTAATTATTGATTTGATCGGTTCATATAACGTGGAAGAGAAATTTCCTGGGTTTGCACGGTTGCTCGACGCCGCTCGACTCAGGAGACCCAAAAGATGGTAAAATTCTTGAATTTTTTTTCATATTTTGGCCTATAGTTTCGAAACGTTGCGTTCTAGCCAATATTTCATTATCATTATATTATTAATTATTCATTATAAAGACCCTTAAATTTTGCGTATAATGAGTTTCAATTTGTTCAATTCGGTCCAGTACTATGGCAGAACCTGAAAGATGAAGAATGGCGATATGCTGATACAAATTTTGCTGATTTCTGATAGTTCCGAAACGTTGCGTTCTAGCAAAAAAAGATCGTAATATAAAAAAAAGATTCGTAAATTAAACCGAATTAGATTTTCTGTCGAATGAGTATACAATAATTCAAATCGGTTTAGTAGTATGGCTAAAATAGAAAGTTGAAGATTGGTGATATTTACCCACGTTGCTGAAAAAGGATTAAAGTGACATTGAATTGTACATCTCATGGAAAACATCATTCCAGTTAGAAAAAATGCAACTAAGTTATAAAGCATCAAATCGTAGGTTAAGTGTAGTTTAAATTTTACATTTGAGAAAATACATGTCGGGAAAGTGAAAATATTCTGAAACTTGCCATATACTCAGTGCTCAAGAGAGCTACCCTTCCATTACTTCCAACTCTCTATGAAGTAACATATTGTAGCGGACCCGTGTGGACTCGGCCTAACCTGACTAATATGTCCCCGCCTCCATATGCCCTTAATATCGCATTAAAGTGTAGCATTTTTTATTTCCTTTAATAAAATTGAATTTAAAAATCTATTTTTATTTAAATTTCTTAGTATTGGCGCCATCTATTTGCTAGATGCCAAAGATACTAAACTCCATTTGTTACAGCTCACTTGTCTCGATATTTAATTTTTATTAGCGCATCTATTCGCTAGATGTCAAACTTCTTTTATTACAGTTCACTTGTCTTGTTTATTAGCGCCATCTATTCGCTATATGCCAAACTTCCTTAATTGCATTTCACTTGTCCAAATCTCACTTCGTGGATTGCGATTTTCTGTTCTAATGATTTCGATCATATAATATCACTTTTTTCTCTCTCTTTATTTTTTCCTGGGAATTTGGATCTGAAGAAGACGCGTGTTTCGGCGTCCGACAAATTTTCCAGTGAAAATCACTCTGAATCCACTTTTTGATTTCCATTGCATGGGTATCCGATTTGGGAATTTGAAAACCTTGTAAAGTATGCAATCCAGAGTATAGATCGTATTTGTTTGGTTTCCTCTTGGAATGATCACCGTAAGTTTATCCGCCATTTTATATAGCCCTATCTAACTAAATTCTATTTCAGTTATTTCCGTTTGTTATTTCGTTTATTTGAGTATTTAATTACTGGTTTGGATCGGCATATGGTTTGAATATATTTATGTAAAGCTGATTTTCAGACCGTAAGTTGTTTTTTTTATTGAGTATCTGTCCTGAGAACTATTTTTTATTTATAGAGTAACTACCACATGGTACTCAGTAACTACCACATGGTACTCAGTAACTACCACATGGTACTCAGTAATTACCACATGGTATGCAGTAATTATTGTATGTTTCACCCACTTTCATTTTGTATGGACCTATGCAGACCTTAAGACAGTGTTCCTGACATTACAATCGTTCTTTTGGCTGATATCGAAGACTTCTCCTGCCATAGTCATCTGCATCCACTTCTGTTAGTCTGGAGAATACCTACCTACCTGTTTACATCATAAGAAACTATATACAGATAAGTCTCTCTCTCTTAAGTTTGATACGCAAGGTACGCTTTTATTTTATAATTTTTGAGACAACAGATTTAATAACCTGGTAAATTATCACTATTTATCCCACATATTGTAGTCAAAATTATTTTTTATTTAACGTTATAAGTTATAATTTGATTCGTACAGTACACTCTTACTTAGCTATGATATTTTAAATGAAAATTATTAACACGTATTCATTTTAAAGGTTTTTGTACACGACATGTTTCGAAACATCATCGTATTGAGACGTACATAAATTTCACCTGTTTTTATATTAAGTAGCTTACTTAGTTCAAAGAATACAGTTACTAAATTCGAATCTATTTAAAATAACTTGCGGTTTTATTGGGATCACTGTGACTAATTGATGATACTTGTGTTCGTTTTCAATAAATGTTTAATGTAGGATAGTTATATATTTCTGACTTTTATTCCTGATAAACATAATAGACCCTTAATGCTGTTGATTACTTTATTTTAGCTATGTTGTGATATCGTATTTTTCTTTTTGGTTTCTTACTTTCCACTCTCATAAACAAAGTAAGTGGCGCCCTTTTCACTGTCTTTGACCATACCTATTTGAATTCTTAACATCAATATTAAAATCTCTGCAGCCTATATATTATCATTTTTTATTTTAATATTTAACAACATTAGAAAGTCACTGTGAGTCAGAAGCCTTACCTACGAACCCAGCTTTCCTCTAACCCTGAGCAACGGATTTTTTTTTCATTCTATTTGGGTAACGACAGAAAAGTCGTCACAAAAGAATAGATACCGTAGTGACGCATCGAACGTTCGAGAACAATCGAATTCCACTGGAATGGTTGCGTACATACGAGAACATTCTAAATCTTCTCGATGCGTCTAATGATCTAAAGGACTATTCGAGAACTGTTTAGCTGTGGGTATATAACCCGAGGCCTATGCAAAGGAGGGACAGAAACAATCGGTCGACTCGTACACTTACTGCGCTAAATTCAAAATAAATTCCTTATAGATAAATAGTTAGATAAATAGTAAATAAGTTGTAAATAGTTCTTTAAGTAGTTTTATCGTTATTGTTTTGTTACTTAGTGTAAAATAAATTGTGTTTAAATAAATTAGACTTTCTATCCACACGGAACCGACGAAAAACGTAACAATATAAAGTGGTATTATACCGTGCTGGCAACTCTTATTTTTGGGTCGGTATTTACATGTATGGAAGTAAATCGTATAGGGATCTTATTAAGTCGGAGTGAGAGAAATGCGACGGTGTGCTGTTGCGGCGTTGCCACATTTCTCCGGTACGACTTTTCCTATCAAGTAAAGTAATATCACGATCGCAAACTGCTTATCTTTAAAATATTTTTTTTTGGAAAGATAACTAGATAAAATCATTAGATATGTTTCTGAGCATCTGAAATGGAATTATAAATATATCGTTAAGGTGTCATATAGCAGAAATATTGAGAAAGTTTAAAAGTTTTTAAGAAAAAAACTACAATAATTTTTTTCTAAGGGATTTCGAGATATCGACCCGGAGACGCCGTGGAGATCCGGGAAAAGTTTTCTTTTCTGCATGAGCGTTCGAGTTCCATGGAATCCTCTAGCAGAGAGATATGGTTTGGAATGCGAAGTGCACCGCAGTTGCCGCGGTGTCCGGTTCTTTCCCTCGGACCTTGAAAATCCGGGAGAGCGCCACGTGGAGGCGTCGCGACAGTTCGTACCCATATCCGCAGCAGGTATCCAAGGTGAAGAGCCTCTAGTCCATTACTATTTAATATAGTAATGGACGAACTACTGGAGGAACTTAATAAGGGTAATAACGGCGGCACTTTAGACGATGGCGTGAGGATGGCAATCGTGGCATTTGCGGACGACCTGGTACTGATGGAGAACGATCTTGCAATAGACGAAACAACACAATTCCTAAGCAAGCGTGGCATGAGTCTGAATCCGAAAAAATGCACATCTATATCTGCCTCAACACACCACGGCAACAAGAAGTCCTCAATCATTGAAAAGCCATTATATAGCGTGAACGACACCAAAATCCCAGCCAATAGCGGTTTATCTGCGTTCAGGTACCTCGGACACATGTATGGCACAACGGGTGTCCGGAAGCCATCTCTGTGTAATCTGAAACCTGGTTA